TGTGCAATTCACACCTACCCAGGGGTCTCTCATTTTTCTCGGTCGTATGGAAGTGAATCAACTTATTTGAGTGAAAGTTATCAATAAAGTCAAAATTGACCGTAAACTAACCATACAGTGATCGCGATATTCAGCTTCAGAGAGTGAACATTGATGACTTACTTGCTTTCATAAACTCAGTAGACGAGGAAACTTGCCTCATTCGAAAACTCACGTTAATGCTTGGATAACTGCAGATAACGAGTAGATTCGAAAGCCATTGCACAGTTTGACTAAGTGAATAGGCGGCAGCCCGGGGACCTTGGCGGAATATTTCAGCAACGATGAGTGCCGGAACAGGCCCTAGACCGAGCGCGAATCCACTCACATAGCAGAAGAGCAGAACGGCTGATAGAACTCCCATCGCCTGAGCAATAACACCCTCCTTAAGATGTGTGACCAAGTTGACAGTGATTGTGAGTAATGCAAGCGAGACGGCGACCACCAACGTGGGCCAAAGTAGTAGTGTTCGTCGCCCTTTTTTCTCAAGCAGAACGACGGATATAGACGTCACCAAGAAGTTGAAAACACCAATCGCTAGAACGCAGTATTCATTGTATTGACCAGAAAGTCCGGCTGTTTTGAACATTGTAGATGAATAGCTGATAACCTATGAGAGGAAAAGAAGCATGAACGAATCGGTTGGATTTGTGCAGACCATGTTGTGAAGACCCGTCAGCGGAACGGGCACACAAAGTAGAATATTTTGTCACTCGCTGCCAGAAAAATATTTACGTAAAGGAACAGGTTTGGAGCGTGAAATCCGGCGTTCTATGCTTACATTAGTTTAGCACCAGCAATATGTACTAAGCTGCGCATATGGGAAGACGGATTACTATCGGTCACGTTCAGTACGTTGGTGTTCAAGAACGGTTGATCAATCGCCTTCTTCCCTCAGTAGTTTCCACTGTATAACAGATTGATGTTTTATTGTCGTGCTTCAGTTATATTATATTTATGGCCGAGATCAAGCAAGTGGGTAAGCTGGTAGCATTCGTAACCGTTAGTACCTATTCGTATTCAAACAGACCATATCTAATAATAGACACACGCCACCAGAAAAGTGAATGGTTTATTTTTTTTGAGGATCAACATCAAATGTTCATATGGAACAGTCGTTTTGAGTTCTCCACCAAACAGGAATAGCAACCACTGGGATTCCAAAGATCTACCATTTCAAAAGGGCTATGCACGTGCAGTCCGGTTGCATTAACGTAAAAATAGGTTTTTAATGACCTACCACCCGTTTTCGAAAGTTCGGGCATTCTTCATCTACAAAATTCACCTCCAACTTGGACAAACAGTCGATCGGCACTGTCAAATCGGTTTTCACCAAGCGGCAGTATCAAGCCAGTAGTAAGCCAAATTTCTTTTGAAGTAGTTAAGGGCCTCAAAAAGTATTCCTTTCCGTATAGCACGTAAAATTCTACGCAAACTGCTGTTTGTGATGAGATCTAAGCAAGCACCATCCCTAGAGTATTCTAACCAACCCGTTAGGTACACCAGAAGCGAAAATCTTCTGTTAAGCTGATGGGAATTATCGCAAATACTATAATTCCTGAAATCCTTGTGGGAAAACTTTACACATAATTCTGGTGGACTCTTTCATCCGGTGAGAAAACAATTTATGAAAATGGTTAGATTGGTTCTCTCCAATAGAAAATCTGGTGTTCTATGAAAACCGGAGGGTCGTTTCAAACTTTGGCACTTTCTTAACCAGTGAACAACCAAACTGTCTTGCATGCCTTTACAAGACTCAGCAAGGGCGGAGACCAGTATCAAATTAAGAGTCGCACATGATTGGGGGCGAGGGTCCTTCAACTCATGTCCTCTGAACGCAAATCCACAAGAGTAATTTATCTTTTTCTAGGAATACCAGACAAAACCTGGAATAATGACCGAGAGCTTCCTGTTTCCTAGGAGTGCCACTTAAAACAGATATATCCTTGATAAACCATGGTTGGAATCATCGACTTTCGGCAGTCCTGTGTTTTTGGAGGAGTGGAAAATCATTCGTCTGATTAGTCTCCATTAGGTGGATCAAGGTCAAGCAGCAGAAACCAGATCATTGAACAATCAAGGGTTTTTTGCCCATCCTGGATTGTAAACAGTGCTGGTAAGTCATAGAAGACTGTACTATACGTTGAACGTCAGCTTAAAGATCTCTGTTCGATTTTGTGGAGCATCTACCTTTCATTAAACAACACTTGGAACTGGTGGCCAGGGTTATACAACATCCGAGACTGACATCCATAAATCAACAATGCCAATTTTCACGTGCTTTGTTGGTCTAATGTATACAGTCCGACCGTTATACCATTGGTATGCAAAAAAAGTGGCAGACGGAGATTTATACCAGAGATGGAGCCGTCATCTGGCTGTTTGCATAGCGGGACCGCCCTATGGAATGCTTGTTGCCATTTTACCACTCTCGTTATGCTGTTTGCCTTGC